TCTCCCTCTCTCTCTCTCTCTCTTAGCGATGCCAACTTTCAGCCAGTTTATCGTATTCGCGTTGTAAGCGGATATGTATATAAATCCGCTGCATTTATTTTGCGGCGAAGAAGAGAAGCGATAGGAAGAGTTAATCGAACATGACAGAATAAAATTTATCGGTTTGTTCCCGAGTACGCGGGCGAATGAAAATCACTCGTTCGCAAAGCTTGATGGAAATCGTTTGGAGAAAAGTGCCATTGTTAGGCACGAAACAGGAAACATCCCCCGCGGGCGGTTTCTCTCCACCTCTCGCACGCGAGAGAGAGAGACTCCTCTCCTTCAACTTCGTGATTACCGTTTCGGGGCGGTCGGCACGAATAACGCGCGCGCATTTTTGGGGTGAAACGATCCGTCCAATGAAAGGGAGAACGGAGCGTTTCCTCGAGGGCACTTGGAAATGTCGAGGGGTAAATTTGGAGGCGTCGTCTCGTTGTCACGCGGCTGTTTAAAACGCACGCACACAGCCCATCGCGCGCGGCCGCTCGTAATCCTTTGCGCAACACCTCGCGGAATAATTACCACAGACTCACGTTGTCACTTTAATCCTCTTAGCTAAACCACATTATTTGTGGCTTAATGAAATTCACAATTTTGAGCAATATAAAACTAACATAACGCGATTCGAAACTACAATATATACGATCACTGAGATATACACATTATCGTTAAATATTTGTTTCACATTAATGATTATACAACAATCGCTAGAACTGAATCGTTATGATGAAGAACGAGCTCAATATTGTAGACTATACATTATAAATCGTATCCGCGCGATTGACCTGTCTCGCGACATTATCGTCGCTAACAAAGCCGGATCGGATTACTAAAATATAGTGTTTCGAGAAACACGCGTAATTGAGTTAAGCCCCTCCCCCGATGAGACCGAATTTTCTGGCAACGCGCACGCGCGACATAAATTTCGTCGTCGATTTTCCCATGAGTGTCGAGGATAAATCGTAGAACATGTAAGAAACGCAGAAGAGCTGAACTCTCCTTACGGGACTTGGCTCGACTTCGCCTGGAATCCCTTCCCGGGAGATTGCGTTTTCTTTGTAACTTCCTTCCGTTAAGGCATAAGACGCGGTGAACGTGTATGCGTTACACGCGTGGATAAGAAATAGGAAACGTGGATGAGAAGCTGAATAAAAGAAACCGAATCGCTTTATTTATTAAATAAAGCGCCAATTAATGAAATTACAAAATGTATATTTGCGATTATTTTTATTGCTAATAAGTGTTAAATTAAAACAATCAGAGTACAATTTAAATTACAATTGGCCGACATCTTTCGAAAGTTTCATCAGGTTTTGTTTCCAAAACAATAGAACCGCTGCCGTTGCGAGCAAAATGCCGTGATTGCCGCAGCGATACAAAACAACTTCGCGTCTCTATCGGGTTAGGTCCGTTGCTGGATCAAAATTGGATTACTTTTCTCGTTAGGTTAACTCTTTGCATCGACGAAAGAGCGACAAGTTGGACAGGAAGGAAAGAAGAAGAAAGAGAGAGAAAAAAAAACGACGGAAGGCAATCCCGCGGAAATGAATCGGGATTACTTTTACAACGTGTCTCAAAGTTCCCAATAAGCGGGTAAAAGGGGGTTCACCGTTGGGTTGCTGAAGGGAGGTGGACATAAAATTAGCTTAGACTGTGCGGTATTGGCGGATAAGCGATGTAGCTATAAGGGTTACTGTGATAAAAGCGATCGAGGGTAACGGCCGCCGCGGTTCTGGCGAAATATCGTACGGATCGATAGCTTCGTGGCTCGGTCGGGAACGGATACTGAAAAGACGGACGATATTGGAGGGAGCGATTTACGATCGTTGAATTTTATTTCTCTTCCCCCTTTTTTTTTTTTTTCTTGATTGAAACACGCGTGATATCGACAGCAAATAAGTGTGTTTCGAGTTTATTCAACGCATAAACACACTGACGATTTTAACAAGTAATATAAAAAAAACAATAAAATAATATAAAAATAAAAAAAATATTTTAAACAAAAAATTATAAATTTCGCGTTTACGCTCCTGTCGTTGACGAACAATAACAGACAAATCTTATACTTTGTGCGTTTCATTTTTTTTTTTTAACAATTTCTTTCACACACGCGCGTAACGTTAATTAAATAATGCGATTGTTATAAATTTTACAGTTATTACGCGTTTCGTGAATGAAATTTTGCAATGAAAAATTCTGTAGCACAAAAGATCGCATCCCCCCCTTTCTCTTCTCTCGGTCGCAAAAAAAGATATTCTTCTCTACCTCGAGAAAGATCTAATATCCTTAATATCCATTCACAGGAATCGCGGATTGTGCTTGAATAAAGCCGCGAGAGCTCGCGCGCTCTTCGCCGCGTGGCTTTCATGAGCGATTAAGAGGCCTCGGCAATATACAGGTGCGATAAATATCTCCGACGCGTCGCCGCCGTTCGTGCTCGTAGGTGTTAAAAGGGGGTTAGAAGACGAATCGCGCGAGGGAAGTTCGAAGGCTGTTAAAAGCACCGCCGAAGAGCTCCCGAGAACACGAGTAAAAGCTCCGACGACGGTGGTGGGTTTTGTACGCGTAAAAGCTCCCGGCGAGTCTAACAAGACTATGTGCGTCTCGTTTGTTAACAGCGTCGCCGAGACGCCGGGCGTCGTCGCGACGCATTTCCAGACATTGTAGACACATAATATATATATACGTAAATTGACAATTTGCTATTAAATATTTTTTGTCATTATTTTTTTTTTTTTTCATATTCCATAGCTCAATAATCAAGCATTGAGATGTTCTATTTCTATGATCTCAAACATATTACCTCCGCAACGTCTTCGAACTTTTTACAGAGTTCCGCTATTTTTGCGGATCAATTCGATATGTCGCGAGGTTTATATTAATACGAACTTGAACAGCTGTGCAGAATTCGTCCCATTTGTTCGACGTGCTTGATTTATGGTCTCCTTTACCTTTCCGTCGAACGGAGTGGGTCGCTAAACTTAGGTCAGTTCTTAGGATCGATTCGTCCCGAGAACATTACGCGAGACGCGCACACGTGCCGATGCACCGCTATCGTTTACGACCAGACCTTAACAGCCGATTAACTCCCGATTAATTCGAGCGAGCAACGCGCGGTCGTTCTCTCTTTCTTCATTTATTTTATTTTTTCTATTTTTATATATGAAAGGTCAAGCCTTTGCGCTTGTATCCGCTTCGACACACTACCCGTTATCGATTAGCGAACTTACGCGGTCATGATGACAAAAAGAGAGAGAGGGACTTCATGCACATGGCGATGGGAAGGTCGAGAAAACAATATGGACCGTTTATTTTGAAAGTGGTGTAAGTCCATTTTTCTTTTGTTTCGAAAAACTTATAGGTTAACGTATCTGTCAATTATGAATTATGAATTACGTGATATCTCATTTTTTTTCAAAAATGGACTTACGCCACTTTCAAAATAAACGGTCCATATATCAGTTGTGGGGACGAAATTTATTTCGTAAAGGAAAAACCTATGTCGTATATCTTTTAGATTTCTGAGATGATTTTCAAAATTGAAAATTGAAATTTCAATATTTTTTTAATCGCGCTTTGAATTAATACAACAAATAATCATCAATTTCGCACATTGCGGCATAGAATCAATCGCATGTATGATATATTCGAATTACTCTTGTCTTGTTGAAGTGCATGTCGATGGTCGGGACAAATGATCAAGCGTCGTTAAACATACCCTTCTATTGTGTGTTTTTTTTTAATGCTCGCTACACTAGCCTAATTATGCTCCGCAAATATCTGCAAAGATCTGTTTAAATTGTT